TCTGAATTTTGTACTCTATTTAAATATTCTTCATATTTTAGAACAGGTTCATTTTACCCCTAAATAATGGAAACAAAATGATGATGTGGCACTGTTTATACTTTTATAAATGCCCCATTAACTATTAATTTTAATTCAACTTACCCCCTGAGTTATTACTTTTGTGTTAACTTGTTCCTCGATATCTTAAAAAGTCAGGGTAACGCAAAAATTAATACTTTAGGGGGCTTTTAGGAAATAATTTTAGTTTAGAGGGTGTTATGAACCCTTTTTTTATACATTTGAAGCTAAATAAACACTTTTCAAAATTTGAAAACATGTAGTAACAAGATCAAAAAATTAAGGGGCATTTACCAAATTAACTACCCTTCATCTTATAACTACATAACTCGTAACGACTTGTCAAATGAGTGAAATATTTATATTAAAGAAGTGCACAACTCAGTCCTCATCCCACGATCGGTAGTTTGTGCCATATTACACGGATCGGGAAAACATGACATGAATTCCATTGGTAATTTGGTCATTGTCAAATTGAACCACGAAGTATTAGTATACAAATTGTAGCAGTTATCGTGTCTTGTGTATTAATGAATAACGTGCTGCCCGGTTAATAAATTAAATAATAAATTACATCTCACGCTTATCTAGTTATCTTGGAAGAAAAAAAATGACGTATAGATAAATTTTGAAAACTAGAAATGTAACAATCTCATTGATCACTACTATAGGCCCTATATATAGCCCTATATATATATATATATATATATATATATATTCAGATCCTTAGTGTGGGGAGAACTCAGTCATTATAAGCCAAGTTTCTCTCCGTCGTGTAAAATTAATAAAAAATTAAAAAATATATATCTATGAAAAGGAAATAAATGTGAACAAAGAACTGAGGAAACCACGAGGGAAGTTTCTATTCCTTGAAAACGCGGATGGTGGTAGACTTTGTGAGAGCTAGGAAAAATAAATGTGTATAAATATGTATATGTGTGTATATATGTATATGTTATATATAAATATAAGTTAATTTTGAAAGGGAGCTAAAGGTAGATAGATGGGCATGAATGATGCCGCGGGTGAGGGAAGATTGGTAGCTTCATACTATAATAAAGAAATGGAAATATTATATATATTTAAAAGGACTTGGAATAGAAAATTTGATTGGTACAATAAATATCAAACTCTCGTTGCTTCACGGCATCCATAATCTCTAGAAGAATACTATTGAGAAAATATTTTATAATTTGATCTTTTTTATGTTAGAAGATTGAATTGAAACTGGCCAATTGGCTTTTTCCGTCCCTTTTACATTGGACAGAGACAGAAAGTAACGCAACGACTGACCTAGTCAGATTCCAGGGGTTGGTCTATAGCTCGAAAAAAGTAATAAAAATAAATAAATAAATAAAAAAGGTAACCTTAGACAGTTGCCAAATGCGTATAGATCTGAATATTTGACGTAAATTAGTAAAAATAAATGGACCACTAAAACACATATAGAGAATTAGAATAATGTGAATGCTGTTGATGGCTAAATGATTAAAAATGTTCTTTTCAGAATATTAAAAATGATTCTTTTTCCCGCCTTTTGGTGATAGTGTTATATGGTTTTGGGAAAGAACACAAAAAGGAAGCATTGTTTATTTCTTCCTTGTTCATGACACGTTTTGAGACTCATGAACAATCGTTCAACTATCATGTGATAACTAAATATTTTGCGGAAAAGAAAAAATAAAAAAAAGAAAGGAATAGAGAAAACTTGATATTATCTTATCATTCGGCACACAGTCTAATTGTGATGAATAAAAAATGTTGGCAAATTGGCGTGACTGAGACAAAATTAATTGTAAGATGTATTGATCTAAGCAAAGAATCATATAAAAGAGCTCTTCTTATGAGATCACATTAATTGAAGATGAGAGTAACAGAAGCATTAATTTGACTTTTTCCAATCGCGGTTAAGACAAAAATGGATTTGGTTTAGAGATAAGGGTAAGGACCTTAAAAGTAATTAGGGAATAAAAATAACAAATAAATAAATAAAAAGACTAACGATGATGAGATCAGAGCCATTTTAATATGCAATTATGAAACTATTAGGTAGATAAAACAACGTTATCGATAACTCTTTCTCCTTCATTGGAGTGAAAAGTCCATATGAACTAAATCAAATTGGTTCTGTTTTGAACATATATATATATATATATATATATATATATATCTATTAGATCGTTTTCAAGTGATGAAGGCAGCCCTAGACCCGCTGAAAACTGATGTCGGTTTCTTCTTCATATTGTTTTTTCCTTCACAATCACAATATATGTACGTATTTGTGTTCATTTTTTATTTTTTAATATTGCGTTTAGAGCAAGGATTCGTGTCATAATTCGGATCATAGTTTGTGGCTCATTACAGCGTTTTCTCTCACAAAAAACACACGTAAACTGAAAATTATTCTGAATCATAATTCTGAACTGTAAAAAGATTGAGTTTTTTTAGATAGCCACGTGGAGTGGAAGGGATATCATGAAGGGGGAATAATACAGTTTTGGATTTTATGAATTAGCTAGTTTTTAGGCCATCAGTTTAATTAGCAAGAGGGGTTTGATTCTGAACTAATTAAGGTAGTTAACTGCGGTTGTGAGTATAGCTTAATTAACGATAATTCAACACATCTGATTCCACCTTAGGGTGCAAAGTTCAAATTCTCCTATCCCTAAAATTCAGAAAAAAGATAAAAGCTAGCTAATTAGTTTTCATAAGGCGTGGTTTTCATTCTTTTTTTTTTTTAAATGATAATATATTCCAAAATATGAAAAATATTACAAACACCAATCTATACACATAGCTCCTACTATAAGAAACACGACACCACAGATAACCAATTCTATCAATAAATTCAAATGAAGCTGATCAATGGAAAATAGTATGTACCAGACTTAACAAACAAAAAACACTAAAGACGTACACAAAAAACGAGCACGCACATAGTCTTTGACATATGTTCCACAGTCGATGGAAACAGTCCAATCAACCGATGTCGAAAAACTCATAGTACGAAGGCTAACACAAACTGCAAAGAAACATATCTTGTGGACCCAAAAAAAACAATAATCTAAATTAATCGGAGGTGAGAACCACTATTATTATAAATGAAAAATGATAAAAATCCACAGCTAGAACATCAAAACACCAAGGAAAGGAAAGTAAGATCACCCCTCCACATGAGTGAAACAAAATGGTAAAAAAGTTTAGCGATTGGTAAATACATGTCGGCGATGACCAACGCGTGCACTACAAGACGACTCAACTTCTTTCACAGACTACAACCTAAGATCAGCGCGTCCAAAGACACTTCAAGTTCAACGACAATCACATCCCTACTTTAGATTCAATCCGATAACCGTCCTCCACCACGGTTTGGCACGAACCCCACCCTAAACTATCTGATGACAAGTTTGTAAATAAACTTTGATCCCCAAACGCCCACCAATACACTGAGCCTCTGACCATGAATCCAAAACCTCTCTTTTTTTTCCCTCTTTTCACCTGTAAGTCTAAGAGGACGTTTGGTTTATGTATTCAGAATTATGATTCAGAATCATTCTCGTTTTACGTATATTTTTTATGAGAAAAAATACTGTAAAGAACCATGAATCATGATTCAGAATTATGGACGGATATAGGAAACAAACGTCACCTAATTGTTTTTAGTATAAGGGGTGGCTTTCAATAATCAAAACTTTTTTTAGGGAAAAAAAGACTCAATAAAAATTATTATTTGTTATGTCACAAACCCTCATTACTCCCTCCTAAAAAAAATAATAAACAAAAAAATAAAGATAAGATAAACAAACTATATATTAAAAAAATGAGGGCTTATATGTCAAGGCAAAATAATAATAGTAAGAATAATAATTAGTGTGAAACATTTTAATATAGACATCACACTTGGGAGCACGTCCTATAATAAACAACAGCTACACCCAATTTGTCAATATGACAGGCCAATATTTTAAGGACCGTCCTTCTCTACACCACCTTTCTCCATTTCTTTCTTCTTCCTCTCTCTCTCTCTCTCTCTCTCTCTCTCTCTCTCTCTCTCTCTCTCTCTCTCTCTCTCTCTCTCTCTCTCTCTCTCTCTCTCTCTCTCTCTCTCTCTCTCTCGTCAAGCTAGCCACTTTGTGCGCCCTACACGCGCTGTCAGCATTATCTAAACCAAAACTAAACCCATCAACAATTTATAGCGATCTTCTTCCCATATATATACTTACTCCTCCATGTCGGACGTGCCTCTTGTGGCTCTGTCTGTCGACCGCGGCCTAATTGATCAATTCCTGACAACAACAACCATGGACATCACTAGATTCACGTCTAATACCAAAACCAACAACAAAAAACCATTATTCATGAGTGATAGATCAGATCAAGACTACTCCAACGACAACTCTCCTTCCACTACTGAAAACGGCTCAGAATCTCCTCCCTCCACCACCGTCTTCAACGACCCCATGAAAATCAGTACTTCTATTTCCTCCCCCAAGAAAAGGTAAGTTCTTTTCTATATATATATATACATATACATATATGTGTATAGATATTTTTCTATGTTCAAATTGCATGTATCGCATGCATTGAGAAAATTAACTCATAAGATTTTCTTTTTGCGTTTTGATACAAATTGACAGTGTTTAGTGTTTATCAGTTTGCTTAGTGGTGGATTTTGTCGCAAAAAAATTTGAATTTATGTTCAAAACTATAGACAAAAACGGGTATATCTAAATTTTGTTACTTTACATAATATTGCAGTAGGCGATCTGTACAGAAAAGAGTAGTGTCAATTCCGATCAAGGAAGTTGAAGGGTCACGCTTAAAGGGCGAGATCAGCGGTAGTACTCCGCCGTCCGATTCATGGGCCTGGAGAAAGTACGGTCAGAAGCCCATCAAAGGCTCCCCTTATCCCAGGTACATCTCCTTCCACAATCACAAAAATAATATCATATATCATGTTCCCCAGTTTTTAATTTTATTCATAATTAATTAGGGGATTAAATTATAAAGTTTCTTACTAATTTATTTATCTTTTGGTGTTTGGTTGGTGGGAAAATGGGAACAGAGGGTATTACAGGTGCAGTACCTCAAAGGGCTGCCCGGCTAGAAAACAGGTCGAGAGGAGCCGCGTGGACCCCACCATGCTCGTCGTCACCTACTCCGCCGAACACAACCACCCTTGGCCGGCTTCTAGAAACAATCATCACAACCACCACCGCAGCCAATCAGCCGCCGCCACGTCAGCCTCCGCGAAACTCCTGAAGGAGGAGGCTCCGGAGACTCAGCCCGAACCGGAACCGGATCCCGAGTCGGAAGAGAGATTTGCCGGCCTTGTCGGGGACGAGTTCGTCGGGTGGTTCGGGGACATGGAAACGACGTCGTCGCGGGTACTGGAGAGCCCTATATTCGCGGATGCTGACGTGGCACCGTTGGTGTTCCCGATGAGGGAGGAGGACGAGTCGCTGTTCGCCGATCTCGGGGAACTGCCGGAGTGCTCGCTGGTGTTCCGCCACTACCGTGGAGTGGGACCAGAGGTCGAGATCTGCTGACACGTGTGCCTGCCCCATATAATATTAAAATATTTAATATACACACGAGGGAGATTACATTCACATATGAAATATAATTGAATATCATTTTGGCATTCAACGGTGGAGAATCTTGCGCCATAAGATACCAAAAACATTTTTTTTTTTGTTTTTTTTATTTCTGAGCGAGCATTGAGATTTTATTTTTAACACATTTGGTTTTATGATTTTTTTTTTTTTAACTCTTTTGCCTTGATCTTAGCGTAGTGATTAGTGAATGTGAATGAATAAGAAAGGGTCTTAACCTGTCCAAGAAAATAATAACAAAAGAGTCTTGATCTTGACTCAGTCTTTTGTGTCTCGTTTGTAATTACCATCAATGGCCGTTAATTCCCAAGTAGCCAGTGGTCCCCACTTTTATTAGATATTTTACTCGGACCCATCAATCAATATAATTCGTTACAATCAAAGAATGTTTATTATAGTCTTAGAATGTGACCAAATTAGAGGAAAAGTTATCTGAAAAAAAAATTCACATTTGTGTAAAAAGAAAAGAAAATTTGAATGACAATAATATTATTGTAATTGTTCATTGTGCGCTTTTACATAGATTAGTTGGATCATCAACTTTACCATTTTGTTATGACACAAATCTTTTGTATTTGCAAATCTTCATGACCATCATTGTAATTTCATTTGTTATGACACAAATCTTCTGAAATTGAATTCCAATATATTGATTAGTATTAGGCCAAAACCCACCGAATCTTAAATCCCAAAGAAAAGAAAAAAAAAAAAAAAGGGGGTAATAATGAAGTCCCAATCAAAGACTAGAGGGGAGATAGTGATTAGTAGATAGGTTTGGAGTTTGGACAAAATTGAAAATGTCTATGCCGGCCTAACATGTCTAAACTCTAAAGTCAACAAAAACCAAAAAAAGGGTTTGACTTTTAGGTGGTGATAGCTGGATTGGCTGCTCCCATCATAATCCACCATTTTCATTTTGGATAAAAACTGCTTTAATTTGCATAATTGCATTTGGCTTTTTTTTTTAGTCCAGCCTAACCAACTAGTGTTTTGCTCAGACAGATATGTAATGTCCAATTAAATAGTAATACACAGTCGAGCCAGCCTAACCTAATATTGCTTAAGCAGATAAAATATCTTCTAATAAAATACAAAAGAGTTGGTAGAAACTTTTAAAATAGTGAACCATGTGATTCTTATTTTTTTTCTTTTTTCTTTTTTTGGCTTTTCTATTGGTGAATAAAGTAGTTTACTAAGACGAGGATGGTGTCTAAAATGCAGTATTATTACATTAGTGATTAGTCAACCAATTCATGAGCAATATGTTCCAGCCGTATATCATGTAGATATTTAGGGCCCGTTTAGTTCGCTGATTCGAGTTTTTAATTCACGTTGAGATGTGATTTTATGTAAGAACTTTTTACTGTAGCAAAAAAGTTAGATTCAATTGTTTGTAAGAATTTTTTACTGTAGTAAAACTCGAATTCTAAATTCGAATCAGCGAAATAAACGGACCTTAATAATTGAAAGTTTTATTATTGTGTTCACATCCAAAATAGCAATATGATTTGACAGTGACGTATAACTTGGAGAAAAGACGGGTTTCATTGCAACATGTATGGAAGAAACTATCTATGTGATTGACATCATGACGTATCATTTGGCAAACGAATATAATTTTGACAAAGGACGTGGGTGATTCTAGTATTATACACTTGCAAGAGTTATTGAATGCAATTAATGACTTGTTAAAAAAATAGTACAATGCAAAAATTAAAGGCTTTGGGAAAACCAATGTTATCCCAAAAAAAAAAAAAAAAAAAAAAAACTCAATTT